CAATGAATGATAGCATCAACTCAACATCTTTAAGTAATTTCCAATCACCTTGCCATGACAAAGGCCGGCAAGAAGAGAACCCAGGACATAGCCGAGGTTGTAGGCCGTGATGTACAGAGCCGAGATCTGGTCATCTGTCGCGGTGATCAGCTGGAGATCTAGCAGTGCTGCAGCTCCTTGCGAGTCAACGATGCCCTAGGAAAATATACGCATGGTTACATCAAGATGGTTTTCTTGGGATGTCAAATATTTGATGACAAATAGAGATACGGCTAGTAAGATAAAGATCACGAAATAACAACTTCATAATTAGAATTGAAAAAGAAAAGGGAGGGAGTGGGGCTAACATGAAACGTTAGTGAAGCAGTCTGGCCAGTTCCAACCTGAGTGAACACTAAGAGAAGCAGTCTGGCCAGTTCCAACCTCAGTGAACACTTAGAGAAGCAGTCTGGCTAGTTCCAACCTCAGTGAACACTTAGAGAAGCAGTCTGGCCACTTCCAACCTCAGTGAAGACTTAGAGAAGCAGTCTGGCCAGTTCTAACCTCAGTGAACACTTAGAGAAGCAGTCTGGCCAGTTCTAACCTCAGTGAACACTTAGAGAAGCAGTCTGGCCAGTTCCAACCTCAGTAAAGACATAGAGAAGCAGTGTGGCCAGTTCCAACCTCAGTGAAGACTTAGAGAAGCAGTCTGGTCAGTTCCAACCTCAGTAAAGACTTAGAGAAGCAGTCTGGCCAGTTCCAACCTCAGTGAAGACTTAGAGAAGCAGTCTGGCCAGTTCCAACCTCAGTGAAGACTTAGAGAAGCAGTCTGGCCAGTTCCAACCTCAGTGAAGACTTAGAGAAGCAGTCTGGCCAGTTCCAACCTCAGTGAACACTTAGAGAAGCAGTCTGGCCAGTTCCATCCTCAGTGAAGACTTAAAGAAGCAGTCTGGCCAGTTCCAACCTCAGTGAAGACTTAGAGAAGCAGTCTAGCCAGTTCCAACCTCAGTGAACACTTAGAGAAGCAGTCTGGCCAGTTCCAACCTCAGTGAACACTTAGAGAAGCAGTCTGGCCAGTTCCAACCTCAGTGAAGACTTAGAGAAGCAGTCTGGCCAGTTCCAACCTCAGTGAAGACTTAGAGAAGCAGTCTGGCCAGTTCCAACCTCAGTGAAGACTTAGAGAAGCAGTCTGGCCAGTTCCAACCTCAGTGAAGACTTAGAGATGCAGTATGGCCAGTTCCAACCTCAGTGAAGACTTAGAGAAGCAGTCTGGCCAGTTCCAACCTCAGTGAAGACTTAGAGAAGCAGTCTGGCCAGTTCCAACCTCAGTAAAGACTTAGAGAAGCAGTCTGGCCAGTTCCAACCTCAGTGAACACTTAGAGAAGCAGTCTGGCCAGTTCCAACCTCAGTGAAGACTTAGAGAAGCAGTCTGGCCAGTTCCAACCTCAGTGAAGACTTAGAGAAGCAGTCTGGCCAGTTCCAACCTCAGTGAAGACTTAGAGAAGCAGTCTGGCCAGTTCCAACCTCAGTGAAGACTTAGAGAAGCAGTCTGGCCAGTTCCAACCTCAGTGAACACTTAGAGAAGCAGTCTGGCCAGTTCCAACCTCAGTGAAGACTTAGAGAAGCAGTCTGGCCAGTTCCAACCTCAGTGAAGACTTAGAGAAGCAGTCTGGCCAGTTCCAACCTCAGTGAAGACTTAGAGAAGCAGTCTGGCCAGTTCCAACCTCAGTGAACACTTAGAGAAGCAGTCTGGGCCAGTTCCAACCTCAGTGAAGACTTAGAGAAGCAGTCTGGCCAGTTCCAACCTCAGTGAAGACTTAGAGAAGCAGTCTGGCCAGTTCCAACCTCAGTGAAGAATTAGAGAAGCAGTCTGGCCAGTTCCAACCTCAGTGAAGACTTAGAGATGCAGTATGGCCAGTTCCAACCTCATTAAAGACTTAGAGAAGCAGTCTGGCCAGTTCCAACCTCAGTGAAGACTTAGAGAAGCAGTCTGGCCAGTTCCAACCTCAGTGAACACTTAGAGAAGCAGTCTGGCCAGTTCCAACCTCAGTGAAGACTTAGAGAAGCAGTCTGGCCAGTTCCAACCTCAGTGAAGACTTAGAGAAGCAGTCTGGCCAGTTCCAACCTCAGTGAAGACTTAGAGAAGCAGTCTGGCCAGTTCCAACCTCAGTGAAGACACTTAGAGAAGCAGTCTGCCAGTTCCAAACATGGACTGTACGAAGCAACCTCAGTTCCAACCTTCAGTGAAGACTTAGAGAAGCAGTCTGGCCAGTTTCAAAGTAAGCAAAGACTTCAGGATGGCCAGTTCCAACCTCAGTGAAGACAAAGCCAAGTGCTACAAAAGAAACATGGACTGTACGACAGCTTTCATCAAGGAACAGAAGAAGGTCAAAGAAGAAGAAGAAGAAGAAGAAGAAGAAGAAGAAGAAGAAAAAGAAGAAGAAGAAGAAGTAAGAAGAAGAAGAAGAAGAAGAAGAAGAAGAAGAAGAAGAAGAAGAAGAAGAAGAAGAAGAAGAAGAAGAAGAAGAAGAAGAAGAAGAAGAAGAAGAAGAAGAAGTTCAAAGAAGAAGAAGAAGTAAAAGAAGAAGAAGAAGAAGAAGAAGAAAGAAGAAGAGAAGAAGAAGAAGAAGAAGAAGAAGAAGAAGAAGAAGAAGAAGAAGAAGAAGAAGAAGAAGAAGAAGAAGAAGAAGAAGAAGAAGAAGAAGAAGAAGAAGAAGAAAAGAAGAAGAAGAAGAAGAAGAAGAAGAAGAAGAAGAAGAAGAAGAAGAAGAAGAAGAAGAAGAAGAAGAAGAAGAAGAAGAAGAAGAAGAAGAAGAAGAAGAAGAAGAAGAAGAAGAAGAAGAAGAAGAAGAAGAAGAAGAAGAAGAAGAAGAAGAAGAAGAAGAAGAAGAAGAAGAAGAAGAAGAAGAAGAAGAAGAAGAAGAAGAAGAAGAAGAAGAAGAAGAAGAAGAAGAAGAAGAAGAAGAAGAAGAAGAAGAAGAAGGAAGAAGAAGAAGAAGAATAGAAAGAAGAAGAGAAGAAGTAAGAAGAAGAAGAAGAAGAAAAGAAGAAGAAGAAGAAGAAGAAGAAGAAGAAGAAGAAGAAGAAGAAGAAGAAGAAGAAGAAGAAGAAGAAGAAGAAGAAGAAGAAGAAGAGAAGAAGAAGAAGAAGAAGAAGAAGAAGAAGAAGAAGAAGAAGAAGAAGAAGAAGAAGAAGAAGAAGAAGAAGAAGAAGAAGAAGAAGAAGAAGAAGAAGAAGAAGAAGAAGAAGAAGAAGAAGAAGAAGAAGAAGAAGAAGAAGAAGAAGAAGAAGAAGAAGAAGAAGAAGAAGAAGAAGAAGAAGAAGAAGAAGAAGAAGAAGAAGAAGAAGAAGAAGAAGAAGAAGAAGAAGAAGAAGAAGAAGAAGAAGAAGAAGAAGAATAAGACGAAGAAGAAGAAGAAGAAGAAGAAGAAAGAAGAAGAAGACAATGATCATAAAAATGAACCCTTTAATTCTTAAAGAGCGTGGTAATTTTGTTTCTGTTTGGTGGGACATATCTCTCATGTCTCAACGTTTGCTTTAAATTATTTAACAAGCTATTTAATAAATAATTTATTATAGGAGCGGGATTATTTAAAAACAAAACACAACCAGATGAAACGAAATACAATCGTAATGCAGCAGAAATGCGGGCCTAAATCCACAGACTCGAGATCTAGCAACCTCTACAAGCCTGAAACGTGGTTAAACACCGGAAGCGAAGACAATTAGACGTCTGCTGTTGGCGTTAGGTCTTTGAAATCGTAAACAGGCTTGGCGCCTCCTGGTATGATGAAAACAAAATAGTTATGATGTGTACCCCGTGTGGGTTCCAGGGCCCTATTATATGTAAAACAACAATAGACCCACTGCATACCCAGAAGCATGTCGTAAGAGTCGACTAATTGAGAGCTTCCTTCGAAGTCGGAGTGGATGAACAACCAAAACTTTCCGCCAGAGTTTACAACTGGTGAACGCGAAGAAGAAGAAGTTATGATATGTGTCCATTTGATTTCGTTTTTAATGCACAGAGATTGCAACAATCAGGTATTACTTTCTTAAAAAACCTTTCTCTTCTCCGACTTCTTCTCCTTTTTCTTCTTCTTCCCAGTGGAGCATAGGCCCTCAACCAACTCAGGCTAACTCGTCATTTCGTTTGCTATCGCATGCAACCGACTCCTTGTTTTTTAAACTTTACTCTCTGATTCTCTTCTCTGGTTTTTCTGTCTGCCCTTATTTCTTTTCTCCATCTCTTGATTCACTGGCATCTTAGTTGAATCACAAAGCTCAACATTGGTGATTCTATCATACCAGAGGTGTCCTCGACATGGAGGTGACAGCCATTAAATTCAGCCATTCCAGCGACAGAGTCCGGAAGTCTCTTGAGAATCGCTTTATTTATACTCTGGGGACACAGTTTCATTTAAACTCCCAGGGGATTGAGCTGCCCTCACAGTTTTATCACCAACACCCCAGTTATGGCCCCTGGTACTCCACAGGGGGTATTTATTCCTCCAGCCGACACGTGTAGTCATTCTGCTGAGAAACAACCGATCCGGCTGCTTCGAGATACCAGCAAAGTGCTTTTGTGTTTCTGTGTAGTATTGTTTAATTTGTATGTGCTGATGAAGGCTCAGTAGCTGCAACGTTCAAATTTTGTTTGTATTTGTTATATTGTGAAGCTTGCTAATATACTTGTCGTTCGGTTTTATATCTTTTCTTGATATCATACCACTTAATTCCCTCTATCGTGCGCATGGTATCCTCTTCTTCTTCACTTAATTCCCTCTATTGTGCGCATACACCAGTTAATGAATTTACTAGTAAATGTTTTAGTTGTTCTTCGTGTTTTCGCTTTACACAACAGTACTATTTGAACTAATGTCTCGTTGATCTCCACAGCTTTGGCTGCCATTGACATTTGTGTTTGTTTATTTATTTTAACTTTCCTCATAAGTTCAAGATCAGCTGCAAACCATTTGACGGCAGACAGTTTTGCGTTGGCTTCAGTAAAAGTCTGTGAGCCGTACCCTTTATAAAGCAATAGCAAAACACTGAACGTGAAATTCCTTAGTAAAACGACACAGTAGTCGATAAATAATCACAAATGCTGGCCTTGGTTTTGATGTCCTGAAATATAAATGTAATAACATGATGTACATCAAACCTAACTGTTATTTTCAACCACAGAACAACCATTAAAGATTTACTACAAAAACGTACCTGGTTGAGCATTGCTATGGGTAAAGAAATCCACAACACAATTTTTCTTCTGTACTCATAATCATGTAGCATTGACTTCAGAGTCGTGGAGACGCCATCTTTCTCATTTACAAGGTCTAGTTCCGAAGTCTGGGCAGCCTTCGTTTTTAGAGACATGTTTTCTTGTGGGCGCAAATATAATATTATATGACAGATAAAGATTACCAAATAACTACAAACAGTAATTATGAAACTCAAAGAAAGGAAAGAATTACAGAGATACAGGTGAACGTTTTGACCAAAACCTGTATCAGCGGGGGTGAGGGGGGGGGGTGGAACTTTTAGCAAGAAAACTGACATGTAACAACTCCAATAAAGTTATTCACACGACTCGAGTACTTGCAAAACAGAAAATTGGGAATATAATGGTGAAGGGAATCTCAATAGGATGTCACAGAATCTGTTACAAATACATTTTTTTTAAAAACCAAAAAACTTTCTTCATTCATTACATCCTTTGTAGTGATTATTGAGAATGTCAACACAGCACTCCGGACAAAACAATGGGTGCTCAGACTTTCGCTTTAAAAGCTCCACACGACTGATGACGCCTATTCTGTGTTGATGAATCAAACGTCTTGCTCCTTTCTTGATGCCCCAGGCTGCACACTGTGTCCGTCAGCATGGATAGGGAAACAGAGGTTGTGCCCCTTTACCGTACTCGTCTTCGTTTTAAGTGTTAAACATGGCAATGATGACATCACTTCTGCCCAGTAACGGACCAGAAGTAGCAGCCGCAAGTGTCTGTATGCTAATGTGCACGCTTGTGGCCTCAAACACCCTCGAGATCCAGCACAAAGGTGAAGGATATACCAGCCATTCGCGAAGTGCTTAGTGATACAGACTATTCTAATGTGATGAACCCAGCCTAGACTGTTTTTTAAGCATATTCATCGAGTCACTAAATATGTAAGCAAGAGTTTTTATGTTGCCAGCAATGCGAATCCCCTTGTTACAGGCACAGTTTCCATTGTGAGGCTGCTAGTTGTAACATCCACTCAAAACACAGAAAGCAGAAACATCGCTTTTGTTAACTCTTCCATAAGCTTCCCTCTCTCACTCTCCGAAAAAAAGGGGAAGGGGGTGAAGGAATAAATGAATAAAATAAAGTAAGGCTTATAATCCAATAAATGTGGAAGAATAGCCTAAAACATCGTCGGTGTTCACAGCAGTTCCACTCTACACTTCTTATGATACTTTTCCCGAAAATAAACAAGTCCATATCAATATTTGTTCAAATTCAATCACCCACTCACAATCACACTATAGTATGTTCGATTTTTTTTGTGTGAGATATAATTATTATTCTTTTGAAACGTTGTTACATTGTGACATGAAATATACCTTGAGTGATACAATCCGAGGTCGGGTAATATTGTACACTGGAAGCGTCTTTGTCGAGTGACTGCAGATACTGAGCGTCGTTAAACACTAGAAACATTAGGTAAGCACTTGAAGTCATGAGGTCGACGATAGAGCAAAAATTAGGGGGAAGCAAGTGGCGCACTTGAGCAAATCTACGGTTGACAAAAGAAGCGGGACAATTAGCTGATAGGCAGACAAACATTTATGACGGATAGAAGGATGAACTGATAACCTGACGTGTATAGAAAAGCGAAAAAAAAAAAAGATTATTAAACAGACGACATATGTTGGTCATTCATCACAAGTGACGATGGCCAGTCCTTTCCTCCAGTGGTGACTGGATTAGGTTTTGTGAGTGCGCAGATGTCTGATAAGGCCAATTCTAGCACTGAAAGTTCTTGAGCAGGGTGGACAGGGAATAGAAGCCGCATCTCTCTGGTGATTTGCTTCAGCGTCTTTCCTGGCTTGTCTTTTCTGAATTGCTGCTGCAGTTCTATCAGCTTTCATGGGCCACAGCTCCTCGATGAAGAGAGGAGCGCCAGGATGAGCGGTCACACGCAGCTACTTCCCAGGTTTTAGGAACAATACAGAAGTCTTTCAGTGAGGTCTTGAGGTTGTCCGTGAAACCTTTTTGTTTTCTGTCCACCTTGAGAGCATTATCCTTTTAGTAGCTCACCATAGAAATTTCTTTGTGGCAGTCGGTAGTCAGGCATGCGGACTATATGACCTGCCTAGTCTAGACTGCTAACCTACGACATATCAGACGGAGAGACGTACAAAAAAAAATGGATAGGCAAGCGGACAAATAGACAATCAAACATACTAACCTCACGGCAGATGGGTGGACTGAATGATAAGTGTACTGATGGGCAAATAAACAAACAGACACGCAGGTAGAACGAACGAACCAATGAATGAAAGAACGAACTTTATTTTCAAAGGATCACAAATTTGGTACGCAGGCCCGCCTTATATTCGGCCCTTCCAAAGCCATCTTTCATACTGCAGCTGTATTTTTTATCAATAAAGCATGTTGTATTCGTATAATAATTTGCAGACAGACAGGCAGATATAGACATAGACAGACAAACAGACCGACCGACGAGACAGACAGACAGACAGATCTACCTAGTAGAACTAGTATTCGCTAGTTTACCGGTCAAAGATCCCATATCTCGCACCCTCAAATACTGGCAATTAGATCACTAATGTAAGTCAACGACTTATCTCCTTGTAGGGACAGGACGACACAGAACAACAATTCCATGTTAAACGTACAAGCCCTTGAAGAGACCAAGGTGACACAGAATGATATGCTTTTCAAAGCAAAAATTGAAGCCCTTATCTCCTCTAGGTCGGTGTCTGTGGCTAAGGCGTCGCGAACGCGCATTGTAATGCCGAAGTGCCGTGTTCGATCCCAGTTGCAGGCCATTTGGCAGCAGCCCGTCTTGCGTTGGTTTCGATAATGGTATTGAGAGTCGTCCGTTCGCAGCAAAGACAAACTACTGAACGTAAATTTGCCTAGAAAACCCACACACACAAAATGTTGGGGTTGGTTTAACAACGTCCTGTAAAGGATAGGATAGGCCAGTCCTGTGCAGTAGATTTTCTCAGTATGATATGCCTCCCCTAATAGCTTCGCACTGTCAGATCAAAAGTTTAACATATATTTTGATTTCGCTGCTTATGCTGCTCCGTCTACGGTGCCGCCTGATGCCTCTTTGAATTTGCACGGCAGGTCTTGGGATAGACAGCTAACTTTACTCCTCTATGGTCTTGGTTTGAGATTTTGTTGACAATGAACAATCATGAGCCTAGACTTAGATGGTGTGCTTAGAGGCAGTATCATTCACAAAGTTACATATTTCTGTTTCTATGGCCACAGATAGTGTGTTTAGAGGCAGTATCATTCACAAAGTTACATATTTCTGTTTCTATGGCCACAGATAGTGTGTTTAGAGGCAGTATCATTCACAAAGTTACATATTTCTGTTTATATGGCCACAGATAGTGTGTTTAGAGGCAGTATCATTCACAAAGTTACATATTTCTGTTTATATGGCCACAGATGGTGTGTTTAGAGGCAGTATCATTCACAAAGTTACATATTTCTGTTTATATGGCCACAGATGGTGTGTTTAGAGGCAGTATCATTCACAAAGTTACATATTTCTGTTTATATGGCCACAGATAGTGTGTTTAGAGGCAGTATCATTCACAAAGTTACATATTTCTGTTTATATGGCCACAGATAGTGTGTTTAGAGGCAGTATCATTCACAAAGTTACATATTTCTGTTTCAATGGCCCCAGATGGTGTGTTTAGAGGCAGTATCATTCACAAAGTTACATATTTCTGTTTCTATGGCCACAGATGGTGTGTTTAGAGGCAGTATCATTCACAAAGTTATATATTTCTGTTTATATGGCCACAGATGGTGTGTTTAGAGGCAGTATCATTCACAAAGTTACATATTTCTGCTTCTATGGCCACAGATGGTGTGTTTAGAGGCAGTATCATTCACAAAGTTACATATTTCTGTTTCTATGGCCACAGATGGTGTGTTTAGAGGCAGTATCATTCACAAAGTTACATATTTCTGTTTCTATGGCCACAGATGGTGTGTTTAGAGGCAGTATCATTCACAAAGTTACATATTTCTGCTTCTATGGCCACAGATGGTGTGTTTAGAGGCAGTATCATTCACAAAGTTACATATTTCTGTTTCTATGGCCACAGATGGTGTGTTTAGAGGCAGTATCATTCACAAAGTTACATATTTCTGTTTATATGGCCACAGATAGTGTGTTTAGAGGCAGTATCATTCACAAAGTTACATATTTCTGTTTATATGGTTACAGATAGTGTGTTTAGAGGCAGTATCATTCACAAAGTTACATATTTCTGTTTCTATGGCCACAGATGGTGTGTTTAGAGGCAGTATCATTCACAAAGTTACATATTTCTGCTTTTATGGCCACAGATGGTGTGTTTAGAGGCAGTATCATTCACAAAGTTACATATTTCTGTTTCTATGGCCACAGATGGTGTGTTGAGAGGCAGTATCATTTACAAAGTTACATATTTCTGTTTCTATGGCCCCAGATGGTGTGTTTAGAGGCAGTATCATTCACAAAGTTACATATTTCTGTTTCTATGGCCACAGGGGTCCCCAAGCTATTTCTTTCTTCTCCGGTTGTCTTTAGTCTCAGAATGTCTTTTTCTCAGACTTATAGCTCTTGTACAGACGTTGAATACGCCGACGTTTTCTGGGTTTGAAAAAAACTAGACTCTCTAGCTACCTTTTCCTGTGTTTTTGGAATCTCTCATTATCTCAAGTCCCTATGGATTCAAATCCAAAGCCCTTCTATTTATATTGCTCTTAACGTTTGTCCTATCCAGCGTCAGCGTCTTTTCTTCCCCTTTTCATTCACTGTCCGCCAAAGTTCAACATTAAGTGATTTTATCATACTATTCAACTTCCTCAATTCTGCACAAGCAGGAGTTAATGTGTGCTTCGGGGGGTCGTCGTGTGAAGCAAAGAATCACACTGCACCCCATTAGTCATGTCGTAAGAGGCAACGAATGTAGGACTGACTGCCTCTGCCCCTGCCCCCCTCCCCCCCCTCCCCCCCCCCCCCCCAAGCCACAAAAACCAGGCTCAACCAACACGTGCATAAAATACGGTATCATAAACACCTTCTGCAGACCAGCCCACTATACGTACACCTATAAAAACAAACCTGGCCTCA